AGTTGTATGAGCCCCTAATGAAACAATTAAAAAAAAATAGCCGCTCAACCTAGCTCAATGCCGTAGAGTCACTTCTGACTCCTAGTGACCCTGTGAGAGGATAGAGCTGCCCCTTTAGGGTTCCAAAACTAAATCTTTATGGAAGCAGAAAGCCTCCTCTTTCTCCCAACAGCAACTGGTAGGTTTAAACTACTGACTTTCGTGGTTCGAAGCCCAATGCATAGCCTACTACACTAAAAGGGCTGCCTTGTGGATGTGTGTATAGCATACAAGAACCACCATTTGCCAATCTATGATATTTAGTCATAGATTTGTTTTCCTTTTAAGCCCCTTGAACAGATTTTGTAATCTTTCTTGTATGGACCATACTCCTCATAATGTATCTACAATGGAATACATCTTGATTTTTATTTATATAATTGGATTTTTTTAGAACTGCCACACAAACTAATGTGAGCATGTTTTGTTTTTCTTTTTATAAACTTATCTTTAATTAGTTGCCATCAACTGAGTTTATTGAAACAACTCTTTCACATTCAACTTGCACATATAATATCATGTAGTTACAGTAACAAGCCAAGCTTTGTTAAGAGAAGAGCCTCATCTGGGGGCCTACTAGTGTATTAGAGAATAGCCCGTCTCTTTCTTGTCAGGTCTACAAGAAGGAGAAGAGAAGATTATCACACAACAGTTGATTAAGAGAGTTTGTCACTGTAGATGTGTTGTTGGTATTTTGAAACGTATTCGTATTTATCTATGCATAAACATATAAAAATAACATAATAGGCAAGAAAATAGATTATTTGAAAGGTCTACCTTACAAATATGAGCAACTAAAAAGCTGTACTTTTCACCATTTAGACAATGTAGGGACAGTATTTGCAGTGACCAAATGTAGGAAGCCGCCTGAGGGCCGGTGAGCGTGGAAAGGCGGAGTGCGATGCAGTGTCTTTCCAGTGAAATGCGGCAGACAGCAGCGGAAACTGCGCGCCAGGGTTGGTAAATGTCACCAAGCCTGATGTTGAGTGAAAGAAGCCACACACCAGCCCCCTCCAGAAAAACATGAAAATGCAGGCCATATGATTCCAGTTTTATGATTAATTAATGGCAAAATTAAACTATAGTGTTCGAAGTTGGATAATGGGTACCTCTTGTGAGAGGCAAAGAAATACAGCTGAGAGGAAACACTAGAGCACTGTTTACTCTGGCGATGATCGGTTTCATTTGGGTGCTGTCCTGCGTGTGTTCTGTTTGAGCCATACATTTCTGATTTGTGTGTTTTGTTTTGTGTGGTATACTGTAGAAAATTCACCACCCCCAAAAAAAAGACCTTCATCTGATGGAACTAATATTAACTAGTTGAGGAAGAAATGAGTTGCATTCCTAAAAGGGTTTGAGAAGAGTTTAATTATGGAATCTTATCAAAAACAGCTTAAATCATACCATCTGTAGCTAATTTAGTTACGATAACACACTGCAGCCGAATTTGTTATATTTTTGCATGTTTAGTACTTGGATTATGCAACTAAGAATTATTGAATAGGCATATAATTATAAACCATAAATCATTTTATCCTAGTAAGTCCTCTGAAAAGTAATTTAGATCACCCTCAGTTTTAAATCATTTTCAAAAGAGAAGTATCAGGTTTTGTTCTGAATAAAAGACTTTAAAAATTAGACTAAAATTTGGTTCTTTGACCAAGAATACACTATATTAATTGCCCTGTCTTTATATAACATCTTTATCTATATTTTATAACTTTGATAACTTTTGTTAACGTCACTTAAAAAGAAGGGGAAAAAATATGAAAATATACTAGTATGTATTTGGCTCAATTAAGATAGTAGCCAACAAAAACCAAAAATATATTAGAACAAGATCAAAAAGTGATTCTCTCATGGGAATCACTGGATTTGCAAGACAAATTCCACTAGTTCAATAATGTCAAAATATGTGCCAGACCAGCACTTTATTTTCAAAAGGCTGTAGAAAGAAATCCCTAGTTCATTCATGTGAAGGGTGAAACATAAACTTTGGCAAATGTGAGCCTCGTCGACAAGTAAGTTGTAATTTCCCTCCTTGATCAGAAATAACGGTGGCAAGTGCTATTTTGTGAGAGGAAAGAGTTGTTGTTAGAGCCATGGCATTGGTTCCGACTCATAGCAACCCTAAGTGGAAAAGAACAAATATTGCCCATTTCTGCACATGCTCACAACTGCTGCCACGCTTGAGCCCACCGTTGCAGCCATATGTCAATCCATTTCATGAATGGAGGCCTGATCATTTCTACAGGGAAGAAAAGCACTTGAAATATGTGATGTATCCCAAAATTATAGCAATAATATTTTCTTTCTTCAAACTGAATTTTTGCAAAACTTTATATTCTTTAAATTTCTTGAAATGGTTTCATGGTCTTAAGTGAGACCCATATAAACCTTTAAAAAATTAAGTTCAAGATACCCTAATGAATGTGTTCCATTATTAAGGACTGGAGTAGTGGGGGCACTTTGCCCCACTGACTGTTGTTCTAACTCTCTTAATACCTTTTGCCATCTAGATATGATAACTGAGTGCAACAATTCAGCTGGGAAACCTTCTAGGTATTGATAATGCATCTCACATCAAAGTCCTATGATTAAGATTTCTGAGTCTTTTTTGTTTTGTTTTGTTTTTATTTATTTTTATTTCTGAGTCTGGATCTTCATTGGGAATACGAAAATATTGGGATGATAAAGACAATAGCCATGAGTAGCCTGATCTTTGTTGCCATGACTGCTTAAGTGTTGAAAGGATGGACAACGGAAGAAACCAGGCACCTATTGCTCTAACCTCCTTTAACCTGGCATCTTGTACCTCTTAAGGGAGAGTATCAAAAAAGTGAGGCAGACAGAAAATGTTTAATATGTAAAGACGTATGTGATTAAGTACATACTTAATATGAAGTGAGTAGAGACGAGTGGAAATCCAAAGGTAAACATAATAAACAATGAAGGAAAACATAGTGTTCTTAACATTGTTTTTGAAAATCAGAGCACTTTTTTAAAGTACCACTGGTAGAAATTAATGTAACTGGAATGATAAGTAAGGAAGCAACTGAATTGGTGACCTAGAAACTTCAAAATTTCTAAAAGTCACCATGACTGAGTTGATTCCAACTAACAGCAACCCAATAGGTCAGAGTAGAGGTGTCCTGGTGGGTTTGTGAGGCAGCAAGTATTTACTGTAGTAGAAGCCTTATCTTTCTCCCAGTTTGGCCACTGCATTACAGTGTTCCTGTGTTAAATTAATTAGAACAAAAGTGTGTGTGAGACTCTTCCATAAGTGAATATGGAAAACCTTAAATCCTTCTTACTATTTGCACATAAAGTAATATGATAATTTCCTCTAATATATAAACTTTAACTACAAAACTCTACCTAACAATTTCTGGTTAATAGTAATAAATTCATGGAAACTTAATTTTTTTAGTGTCCTGATATGTCAAAAATGTTAACATTTTACACCTTCTATTTTTTTAATAGGGTTTGGGACTTAGAAGGAAGTCAGACAGCTCATTTTGCTCTCCGTTCCCCAGGAATGAGTGTGTGCTGGCATCCTGAAGAAACTTACAAGGTTAATATTTATAATTCAGATTTTTTTCATCAAACTTAATAGTCATGCACAGATGTGATACACAGACACCTAAAGGAGAAAAATGAGTGACGTTTACACCACAGAGTTCCTCATTGCCACAGATTGGGCTCAATCTAGAAATCTTAAAGGTTAATGAGGAGTCTTTAAAAGTTCATGGAGAAGAGTCAACAAAAGAGGAGGAGTCAAAATGGCATCCATGTAGAATCACACTCCCCCAGAGCTCCTGCTATATTAGACCAGAAAATTAAAAGCTAGGCATGGGACCAATGGTTCTGGAGGGACATGGGGCGGGGGCAAGGAGGGCGGTGGAGTTGGGGGAAGGAAGCAGTGAGCAAACAATGCCAGAGATAGGGGAACAACTAGGGAATTACAATCAACAACAAGGAGAGGACATAGAAATACAGTGGGTGTTGGAGCAAGAATAATCTAGCTGAGAGGAATTACTAAGAGGCAGAAGAAGGGCAAGCATGATGGTGTGGCAGGAGGAAGGTAAAAAGAAACAGGAAAGATCTAGCAAGCAAAACTATGGAGAGAGGTATAAACATAGGTATGTACATATGTAAATACATTAATTTACAAAAAGTGGTATCAGCATATGTACATATATGTATATGGAAATACACTGAAGTAGTAGTAGATGGACTTTGTACCTCTGCTCAAGCCCACCCTCAATACAAGAACACTTTGTTCTTGGGTACACACACAAATGTGGTAAAGAAAGATGATGGTGCCTGGCTATCAAAAGATACAGCGTCAGGGGGTCTTAAAGGCTTGAAGTTAAACAAGCAGCCATCTAGCAGAGAAGCAACAAGCCCACATGGAAAAAGCACACTAGCCTGTGCGATCATGAGGCGTCCATGGGATAGGGTAACAGGTAGCAGAAGACCCAAAACAAAAACTATATTGTTGAGAATGAGGGTATTCGGAGCAAAACCCAAAGCCTATGTGTAGACATTGGGACATCCCCTCACAGAAAGGTCACAAGGGCAGATGAATATACCAGGGCTCAGTATGGCACCAATGAAACACACAGTATTCCTCTGATTCCTTGAGTCTTTCTCACCCCCCAATATCAGGACCCCAGCCCTGCCTTTCACTGTGGGCTAAACCAGAGCATCTACACCAGTCCAGATAAGAGCTCACAACACATGGAATCCAGGTCAGATAAACCCCTCAGGAACAGAAATGGGAGTATCAGAAGGGGGCGGGGGGAACTATTGCAATGATCAAAATACATAACCACACACACCCTCAGGGGGACTAAAAACAGAAACGGGAGGTGGGGGGGGTCAGTATCAGTGTAAGCTATGAAAATGATAATTTTAATATAGCAAAGGGTCATGGGGTGGGGAGAGGAGCTGATAACAAGGGTTCAAATAGAAAGTAAATGTTTAGAAAATAATGATGGCTACATATGTACAAATATGCTTGTTAGAATTGATGCATGGATTATTATAAGAGCTGTAAGAGCTCCCAGTAAAATGATCTTTTTTAAAAAAAAAGGGATTATTTAGACATGCAATTATCATCTCCAAATGGCATTTATTGAGTCTATTTTTTCTGCTTTTTGTAGATTACGATCCAAAAACTGGTGGCAGTATTCTAATATTGCGCTTTGGGGGTGGGGGGGTTGTTTTGCTTTTTGTTTTAATTAAGTTCATCTGTGTAAAGAGTAGTAGTGTCAGGAAGTTCTTTCCTAGCTGTGGTAGTGTTCTATTCCTCTTCGAGGTAAAAACATTCTAAGATACTAGAAATGTTCCACAAGTTCTTATTATCAGCATATGGCATCAATCTTTCATTGGGAAGAGAGAAGCTATTCAACACAGGATCCTCATTTTCCAAATTGTGCATCATTCTTATTATTGTCTTTTTCCCTAGAAAGTTAAAGTTAATCCTATAGGTGTCCTTTAGAGTTCACGTTAATTCCTTTAGCACCCTCTATTGTCCCTCTGTTGTCTTCAGGGTTCTTATTGACTGTTGTCGTCATCTGTTTCTTATCCTCATACGTACACCAACACAAACACAAAAGAAAACAAACTCATTACCCATGAGTTAGCTTTTACTCTTAACAGCGATACAGAGCAGAGTAGATAGAACTTGCCCATAGAGTTTCCATGCAAAAAACAAACAAACGATTGCCATCCAGTCAGTTGTGACTGTAGGACCGAGTAGAATTCGGTCCTGAGACTTAATCTTTACGGAAGCTGATAGCTTCATCTTGCTTCCTTGGGGCAACCAGGGAATTCTGTCGTTCTCTACTCTGGTTCTGTCGTTCTCATTCTTTACTATTCCATTCTTCTCCCTCTTAAACTTTCTTCACATCTTTTAGTTCTAAATGCCTTGAGCCCATCACCTATAACTTTCAACTTCAATTCTCCTGCCCCATAACTTAAGAATATTTGGAAGTTACTGCTTTAAATCACATAATTTTTTTAATCAAATAAATTTGCAATCTTCAAATTATCTTATATTTCTACCCTCTCTGTACACACACTTTTTCAGGTCTTTAAATTTTGTATTTATTGTCACAAGTGTACATCCACCCCTATGTAGTCTCTAATCTTCGATTACTGTCAGCAGCTGAGCTTTTTAATCGCACCACGCAAAATATCTGCCAGTATCTTAGAACCAAAGAAATTTTGAGGGAATCCAAAAACTCACTGCCATCAAACCAATTAGGACTCAGAGCAACCCTATTATAGATAATGTTTATTGAGTGAATGGCATTGTCCTAAGTCACATATATTACATATTTAACCATCAAAACAGCCCTGCAAGGTAGCCATCTAACTATTCTTATCCTCGCATCTCCATTTTATACATGAGGAAATTGCCAGTTAAGACCCTGGAACATGGCAGAGTCATTGCGCTTTGAAGTAGGGAGAGCAGCCTGCTCCCCAGGCCATCTGTGTTCTTTCTTTATACCATTCCCTTCTGGAAACATCCACACTGCATGAGGATGTGTAACAACATATAACCATGTCTCTGTTGAGAAACACGGCACCCTTTCTAAACAACATACTTCAATGGTAACTTTTCCCAGAATAGACCTCTTTCTAGTAAACCTGCATCATCACTTAAAATGGTACCGAATGTTCTTGTGTCTTTCTTTTGCCAATTTCCTCGTAAGGATTTTCAAATTGGGACTGTTTTTATTTGTTTGTCCTATTTCCTTTGCACGTGATCTCCCGTTTGTAACGTCCTCGGATGTTTAGGTATTCCTGTATAGCACGGAGTGCTTCTGCACAGATGCTTCTCAGGTTTGACTCGTGCGGTAGATGGTCTAGTCTGGATTATCTGTCTTTCAGCTGATGGTTGCAGAGAAGAATGGGACGATCCGATTCTATGATCTTCTTGCCCAGCAGGCTATTTTGTCTCTGGAATCAGAACAGATGCCACTAATGTCAGCACACTGGTGCCTGAAAAACACCTTCAAAGTTGGAGCTGTTGCAGGAAGTGATTGGTTAGTTTGGGATATCACGCAATCCAGGTACTTCCTCGGAATATTTCTTTTATTGCTCACAGTTGCTTTTATAGCTCATTATTGCTTAACGATGCAGAGCCTGTTCTTGACTGCCTGTAGAGCAAAACCAAGTCTCTCCTTAGAGCAACGTCAGCGCACAGGCTTTCACGTGCAGAGATAGGTGCCCAGGCTTTGCAGATCTACTTGGGAGTAACTCACAGAAGGACAGTGCAGGAAAGGACATCTTTGACCCAAGTGATGTTTACTTATGTCAGGAACAAAAGAAACCCTGACGCTGCTGAGCGACGGTGTCCTGTCCTGCTAAGTCATATTCATCTCTGTACCATATTTTATCTCATACAACAGAGTATTTATTTGAAACTTTGTTACGGTTGAAATACATTAGGCATTATGTCCTTAGAAGAGAAAATGCCTTTAAAATCTTACTTTAAGTTTACCGACCTGAATCTAAGATGTAATTCATAAAATGCAAACTGTTTTCTTTTAGTTATCCTCAAGAGAAGAGGCCCGTCCACCTCGATCGAGCCTGTTTATTCAGGTAGTGCATCCTTCTGTGTTGGAGCTATAATCTGATTTTGTGAGTTGGAGTATTTTGTGCTGTGCCACCCCCTGGAATACCCTCAGATTTTCCTTTTGGGCTTTTTGGGCTTTCCTAACAACATTTTCCCTGTTACCTTTGGGTCTGGTTAAGGGAATGGTGTGTTTTCCAAAATGTTCTTTGAAAATTTTTTGATAACGTATGTTGCCATTTTACTAGTTTCACTCCAGTGACATAGAGTATGAGTATGCCCTTCCTAATATTTTTCTATGCTGGTAAAAATGTGAATATAAGTATATTGCTATATATGCATGTAGATTATGGTTGTGTTTGAACTAAGAGTTCAAAAACTATGAAGGGGATTCAAACGGCCATGCAAGATAAGAGTGAGAAAAGGTGTGACACAAAGCCCATCATGGTCAAGGAGGCAAGGCTGACTGGTCAGATAGAGCAGGTGGGACACTAAAGACTATCTATGGCTCCCAGTCTCCCTTCAAGTCTGGAACTCAACTCACCACTTCAGCAGAGGAAGCAACCACTTAAGGTCAAAAGGGCCGTGTTTCCCTAATGGCAAAGGTCAGAGAGTTAAGGAAGAAGAAGGCATGGAAGCAGGAAGAAAGTGGGTTGGGGGTCGCTGGTACATTGAGGAAGCTGCAGTGGATGAGTTGAAACAATGTGTCTGAATTGTCAAATGTAAAATTGATGATCTGCTGTATACACCTTCACCTAATTCATTCTCTCCCTCTCACTCACTCTCTCTCACACAAACACACACAGACATTTTATTTTTAAGGTCATGGGAAAATGTCATTATCTTTCAATCCTCTTTTCTCATGAACTATTTGGAGCCTTCTTGTATGCTATAACTTCCTATTTTCACTTAAACTAGCATACAAATATCTACTTGTACATTTAAGTTTTGTGGGGTTTTTTAAATCATTTTATTGAGGGCTCATATAACTCATCACAGTCCGTACATACATCAATTGTGTCAAGCACATTTGTACATTTATTGCCCTCATCATTCTCAAAACATTTGCTCTCCACTTAAGCCCTTGG